TATATATATAAATAATATTTTTTAAATAAAATTCAAATAAAACACTTAATTTTATTTGTTCTTTTTTAAATTAATTCAAAAATTCGATAGAAACGAATCACTTCTTACGGTACATTATCGACCCAAACACTAAACAAGTTAACCAATGAAAGAACGGGATAGAAAATCAAGATGGCCGTACACTAGATGGCGTTATTAGAAGGCCGTAAAGGGCCTAAAAGGCCGGAGTGGTGGATCAGTTGATGCAGGACGTTTGTATCTAGCATGTTGTCCGTATCTATAGCGGATCGCGTACGTTTTAAAGGAAAGAAAGGCGATGTGGTAACGGCACTGCCCGTCACTGTCGAGTTTGCTAAGTTCGTAAGGGGTGATAAAACGTCAAGACTTGCCAATATAGACGAGTGGAGCAAATTAAATTTAGGTGGATTCGATTCGGAACAGGTGAGAGAGACTTACTTCCCCCCTTTACAAGACTAGTTTTATTGTTAATTTAATACAAATTTAGTGCGAATAATTAATAAATATGTACGTTCGAATAGGGGGAATGAGTACAGTTAATTAGATAAATTTCGTAGTGAGTAGTGTGTGTGTTTTTTTTTCGTTTTGAACACGTGTTCTATCACTCGTATCGATTTTATTTTATTTATTTATTTATTTTTAAATGTAAACGATGCTTGTGTTGTTTAATTTATGTTGTTTTTTTCTGTTTAAACATTGGTTTTGAAATTGGAAATTTGTTCTTTTCGTGTTATTTAAGTCTATACCAGTCGTACGAATTGGTACGAGTAGATGTAAAGTATACGTGAAACGTTGCGTAACTATCTTCTCTTGTATGTCACTAGATCGATCTTGGTGTTTTTTTGACCCAATTTTAGCTTTTTTTTTGATTATTTTCGACATGTTGAAAGATTTAATATGTGTGATTGATGAGTGTGAATGTGGAATTTTAATTCAGCATCATCCCTTCTGTGAAATTGGAATATTTATTCTAGTTTTTTTTGGTATTTTGATAATTGATTTCTGGGTGATTTTTTTATAGATTTTTGTATCGTTTTTACGGAATTTTTTTCTTATTTGTGGCGTATTTTTTGTTGTCTTATTTAATTAATATTACGTGAAAAATGATGATGAAGTTAGGGAGGATAAGGTGATGATACTGAAGTGGTAAAGATGTTGCTATGAGGAAGAATGTGATGCTATGAGAAAAGGGGGATGCTGTGAGAAAGAAGAGGATGCTGTGTGGAAGAAGGGGATGCTGTGAGAAAAAAGAGGATGCTGTGAGAAAGAAGGGGGGATGTTTTGTAGCGTAAGGATGATGATACTTTAGAATATAATGATAATCAGAGATGTAAAATTAGCTTATCTTCATTATTTTTTACATCATGCATTTCTATACCAGCTTATTTTCATAATTTTCTACAACATTAACCTCGTCTTCATTACTTTCTATATCTAAATGAGCCGATATAAAATCAATTCATCCTCATCATTTTCTGCATCAGCATCACTTGATTAATCCCGTTTTCTCACTTTTCTCGTCATTTCTTTTTAAAAAATTCAAATAAAATCACGTTATTAAATCAAAATTAAACATTATTGAGATGCTTTGATCTTAAAAATCCTAGAATATTTTAATTAATAACGAATAATTTATTATTTGATAAATGCTTAAAATTTCTTATATTAGAAAAAAAATAGGAAATTAAATATGGAATATTTAAATTATTCCAGAAAAAAATTTTTTTTGATATTTTCTGAAAATAATATTATAAAAGATAATAATAATAATAAAAAAAACTGAGTTAATAATATTTTTTTTATTAAAGTAATTTAAACAAATGCACAAATGACTTTCTTCTATCTCCTTTCCTCTAATAAAGTAATCGTTCCAATTATGTTTCTATACATTAAACAGCGTATAAATTTATGAATTAAATTATTTAAATTTCTTATTAAATTATTATAAATTTATTATTTTAATAAATTAATTTTCAAATAAATTATTACAGTTTTCACTCTCTCTCTCTTATAACCAACTGTGCAGAAAGACAACCTCCAGAAAAACTTAAAAAACTCCTTTAATCTCTTAATAAACTTAAAATAAACAAATTGTATAATTTAAATTAATAAATTTTAGACTTGTTTATATTATATTTATAAAGAAATTATTTATTAATTAAAGTTTTAAAGGCGTTTATAGCTGCAATAGTAGACTACTTCTTATTTTTCACATATTCTTGCAAGCCTGTCTGGGTATACTGACAAATAAATTATTCTGGATGTAGACTGTACGTCACGCAAAACGTGACATGTTCGTGAGAGACCTGCTTTAACAGAAGATGGGCGTGGGCTTAATATTTTTTTTTCTTATTTTTCTGTTGCTGTACAGAATTCGGAAGCGAGATACAATCTCTGACAATCTAAACTTTGTATGGGTATATTTATTAATATTTAAATCATGTAATAATAGGAAACAAGACGTAACACGCTGATATTTTAGACTATAATATAACACATTTTTAGCTATCTTTTGATCGATAATTTCTTCTCCTTTTCGTCCTATGCATCTCTAGTTTCTCGTAATTCCTGAAATGGTTAGTGAAGATTTACCTTTTCAGTAGTAAGAAATAAAGTAGAAGTCGAAACGTGCTATCCAATAAAATATTGGAATATTTTCCCTTTTTTTTTTTCTTTATTTCCTAGCCAAATAAAGTAAATAAATGATCATAAATGTAGAAGCACAGCAAATCGAAATGACTTCTACACGTTTACTACAGAAAGTTCGATAAATGATACATTGTTAAACGTATTAATTCTAATTAAAATAATAATAAATATTTAGTTTTATTAATATTTTACTTAATTACAAATCTAAAACAATTTTTTTCCTCCAGATAGATGAGATGAACGCCTGTAAATCATACTTTCCCTCATGGCACTAGTGCCACGAGGGAAAGTATGATTTACAGGCGTAAGGCACGACTAAAATCGAGAGCGTATATTTTAAAATGAATTCAACCGAGTATTGTGACGATGCCACAAATACTTGGCTGCAAAAACTATTAAGTTTATTCACTTAAAACAATATTTCCCTGCCTTTTATCATAAAGAAAAAGAAGGGTAAAAAGTTTCTTTTACTCTTTCTCTTATATATAAGATAGCATCTCTGAAGAGGAAGAAGATGACAAAATTTTATGACGGTTGTAAAATGGTCGTTCACGTTGTCAACAGATGTCTAATTGCAATGTTTAGCCAAACTTTCGTTCTTCTAAGCTCTAATTCTTTAATACATAAATAAATTTTACAGTAAAAGACCATAAAAGAACTCCTAAAAATGTTAATTTATCTAGACTTTTTAGAAATAAATTTATTATTTAATATTATTAAGTATATATTTGTCTTAAAACTAACTTCTATATATATATATATATATTCTGCTTTGTTTAGAGTGAAATTAGCGGTTTATAATCTTGAAACTTTCAAGAATTTAATGTATTTGATAGAATAATACGCTAGAGAATATGAATTTATTCGAATTGGTTTGTAAATTCGTTCAATATATTTCAGTAGAATCTCATGAGGAAACAATTTTCCGATACGTATTGAAAATATATTTTAATCCCAAACATGTAGAGAAAGTGGAATATTTTAATACTTTATCGATAAAATAAAACGTTAAAAACATAGTTTCTCGGAATTTGACAATTGCTATCGAATGGATGATGCCTAGATACATGTCACACCCCTTTTGCCCTAGAGGAAGACACGTTGATACAATCACATAATGGATGTGTCATAGAAGAAAAATCTCGATGACAGTCACACCCATTAAATATTACTGTAAAAAAAACATTTTTATTTATTAATCCGAATCACTAATTAGTTAAAAAATTTGATAGAAAAAAAAAATAAAGTTTTTTTTACTGTTATAATTTACTACATTTCGTCTCTTAAAAGTATCCACTTGATCAGATCTGATGCTGTGTTAACAAATAGTAAATGACCCATACTCTTCTTTTTTTCTTATTGAACACTTCTCACTTGGTTAATGTTAGAAAAAAGTAGGAGAGAAATGTTTACATTTAGTGAAAGGTTTAAGGAACAAAGATTGATCTTATACACACACACACTTAAGCTATTTCTTTTTTTTAGTATTACGACACCGTTTCTCTTGTTACATAATTTATAAAAAAAGATCTTTTATAACCAAGCCCTTTCGGCTTTATAAAGTAGACTTTTTAATTTAAAATACATTTTTACAATTTAAATATCAGTTTCCAAACTTAATCCGGATGTTGATTTCTCCTCAGCATCACCTTAGGCTAGACATAACCTATGACAATTTTCAGAATATAAAATGTATCTCTTGACAGTTTAACTTCTTAAATTGTTATCAAATCTTTCTGGATGTGTAACAAAATTCAATATATTTTCATTCTGACATCTTGGCTATCTCTTTTCGCTCTCTTAGCTTTATCAGTTATATAAAAAAAATAATTTATATTAAATCCTTCGATCCGTAAGCAAACAAGAAAACTTTATATTTATATATTCAATCAATGAATTAAAGATATATATATTTTTAAAGTAACTTTTAATCCTTACGAATCTATTAAACGAATCGATCCATCTTAATTTATGTTAAAATATTTGCATTTCTTTTTACTATGCCTCGTGAAAATTATATTTGTTTACAGTTTACTTTATAAGGTATCATTTCAAGTTAATTCTAAAGAAATTCTTCTTAAATTTACATATTTTATGGTTAATTTCAATATATATTTATATATTCCCTGTTATTTTCATAAGAGAAGATGTAGGCTAATAACATTTCTATGAGTCGTATTTAATTATTAAACGACTTTTCTAAAAGTAAAAACTTTATCTAACTTAAATTTTCCAATAGTACTTTTACTTTATTATCGATTTTTTTAAGAATTAATGTAAGAGTAGAACACAATTCATCATTTCTTTGAAAGCCAAATATATATTATCAATACGAACAATAAAATCTAATAAAACTTCTCGATTACTTTAATTAATGGACAGTTTTCTAATGATTTAAGATGAGAATAATTGAATGGAAAATGTTTATGTACAAGAGCAAGAGGTATTATTTAATACCTCTTGCTTGTTGCAATAAAACTTGGCAATGTAGAATGCCCTATTAAGTTTCATGTTCTGTAAGAGTGATATAATAATATTTATGATTATCCCCTTATATATTCTCGTTTATTAAATTTAATTAAAGGTAAAAAAATATAATATAAACTCTTATATATTTCGAAACATACGTGACTAAACGGAAATTTTCATTAGAATCTCTAGAGAGCAATAGATGATGTGTATCAGCCTCTAGAGATTGATGCCAAATTATATTTCACTTTATATTAATGTCTGCTTTAAAATTATTGATTTATTTTTAAAGAGAAGAAGCACTTTACTTTGTTATTTAAACTTTAAATGTGGTGTCAAGTTCACTTAGTTTTAAAAATATATAAAATGATTATGTTGTATAAGAAAGTATTGAAGAATAAAACAGATGGTTTTCTCATATTAGTAACTAAATATAGCATTATAATCTGTGTGTCCAACAAGTAATCCCTCAGCATTTTCACTTACATCTCTCCTGGTGAAATAATTACTAGTTTTTTCTTGTAAAAACTGCTTTTATAGCCCTAACTAACAAGAGAAATATGAATTTTTTTATAAAGTTTAACAAGATACTGGAATAAAACTTATATATTAAATTTTTACTCGTTTATTCTTTTCTTAAATTTACATTTTATAAGCTTTAACTCTTATATTAAATCGATAGAATACGTAATTAATAAGAAAAAGTAAGTTCGGCTTCCCTGCTTTACTCTAACGTTTGAGGGAAAGATGCTTTTACAGGGTAGTTATCAATTCGATTTTTACATTTTGGATAATATTTTATTTAATAATATTGAGAAATTTTTTAATAAATTTATTTAAATTATTTGTGGATATAGTTTATATATATTTTAATGTAACAAACTAATAGAAAATGAGAAAAAAAAAGACTTTAATCTAAAATTAAAATGAAAAGAAAATACACTAAAATTAATTGAAATTCTAATTCATATAACAAATACAGAGTGAATAATATTAAGAGCTTTTTTTTAGTTTTCTTTGTATATTTACTAAAGAAAAAGTTTTAAATTTAATAAAACTTTCTATAGTTTGAAGTAGTTATCATATATAACGATGCTATAACAACAAACTCATAACGTTATCTCTAAAACTCTTTGATACATTTCTCTCATCTCAACTCATGTATTTTTCGATAAGGTTCTTTGCCCTTAAGCTTCTACTATAGAATCAATAGGCTGAGTCGCCACTCGTTTCATTAAAGTAAGCAAAAGAGCATCAGGTGAAACACTAAGGCACTTAAAGTACAATCGTTACAGCAGCAGTTTCGAGTTTCGAGTCAAACTTTTTACTTTTAAAGTAAATTTATCTGTATTATTAATACAAATTAATTATTAAACACGTATTAACCTAAAAATTTTATAAGTAGTAGAGTCTAGAATGGAGAACGTGTTCTATTATAGGGAAGAAGGAAAAAAGAGTGATTCCTTCCTTATTATTAAAGACTGCGGCTTTTCTACGGAAGTTCCTATCCATCGTGGACACAGGATGACGTCATATCACACATTTACTAAGTTTTCCAGCAGTCTAAACGATCAATACTTGTCCAAGCTGTATTTGGGTCGATATAACTTGCTAACGTTAACGTAAACAGTACATAGAAAAATCACATGATCGAAAATATTTTAATTGTCGACATTCCTGTGAAGAAATCATTAAGAATTTCATCATAATTTAAGTATAAAAAAAGAACAAATTAACACGATTTTACTTTATTATAAACTGAAATTAACTCAGTTAATAAAGTATAAAATACTAATAGATTTTTAGATATTATTTTTCAACTGTTCAGGAAATCAATGAGTATACAAGTACATGTTGAATAAATGCTTTCATTATTTATTCAACTTTATACTTCTATAGAAATCGAATTTAGGTAACGAAATTACACGCAACATACGAAATATACATATACATATATAAATATGAAAAGAAAGAAAAGAAAATTTGAGGATAATTAAGCATATTTACATTATTAAATTATCGTTATTAGATGATAAAATTGAATATTATTTTATTCACTTGAAGATAGCATCACCCAGTGATCTACTACACGCTGTAGTTGCCCTTTATGATACGTGTCTACCCGATTTAACAGCTCAAGTTTTATATAAAACTGTTTGCGTGGAAGGATCAAAAACACTGTTTCTCTTAAGAGATACGTCAGGTAAGAGTGGAAAAAATCGTTTATAACCAATTATTTTATCTATTAATAACGAATAATTTTCTTTAGAAATATTGAAAGAATGGGAAAATCAAATAATCAGTAGCCCAAGTTCTCGTTCCAGAGAAGATTCTTTAGGAGGTAAGATTATACTTTTATTTACTTTTCTATACGTTTAGTAAACGAAATATTCTAAATTTAAACGATGGTAGCGATGAGAAATGACCCAAATCTTCTAATATTTATACACTTTTCGACTTGTGTGGCTTTGAAACATTTAGAAATGTAGACAAATTTGGAGGATTTTTCTGTTACTGTTCTTGGTGGCACCTAATTTGAAGCTTAATAACTCCTGAGCCTTTCGTCGCAATCTTTTGAAATTTTGCAGGGAAATTCGTATATTAGGGACGTTAATTCTGTTAAATTTTGACGGTTAAAGATCAACTGGTTGGGGAGATTGAATTTTTTATGTAAGAAAAAAAATATTCTATTTTTAAAGCTTATTAAGTGGTTTAAAATTTAAAAATTAAGTGTTAAAAAAGTAAATAAATAAAATTCTCTTAACTGAGCTTTTTTTATTCAGTATTCACATCTTATGTTTATTTATGAATGATTTAAATAGNGCGTAGTTGAACGGTGCACACTCGGTAAGTAATCCTACAATTTTTTGTTTATAGCATAGTTTATATGGATTATTCCCAAAAAATTATACGTATTTTGGAAATGTTGAGTTGAATTAGTCTAGAATCGATTAATTTTATGGAAGGAAACCTTTCAAACAGCTGTAGTCTATAAACTGCATACGTGCCGGGCTGTGATTGACTGTACTCGTAAAAGCTGGATTCATAAAACTCGGAACATATCTACCGTGTTACAGGGGGGGTCGACTGTATAAGATATTATTCAAATTAAAGATTCCTATTCAGAGCAGTTAGCAGAAAACCAGTAGGCAAAACACCACCATACTTGGTGTTCCATTTTCAGATCTTAGGAAGAGAGTTTAACAATTAAAAAAATAGTTCAAATATTTATTGATAGTAAAAATATGCTGAAAGATAAAAACTGGAAGAAATTTACAGAAGAGTAAACTGGAAACTGAACCATACTCAACAGCATATGAAATTTAAATCAATAATTCTTATTGAAATTCATTTCATACATTAATTACAGCAATTGATTATGTATCACAAAGAGCTGACTAAAGTTTCAGAGAGTTGTCAAAGCTTATCAAATGCAGTGTTCAATGGAGTGACCATTGTGCAGAATCAAAAGCTGATACTGCAACAAAATTTATGTTTAAATTTTTATAAAATTTTCAATTAACTAGAAAACAACAATCAGAGGGTTTTATGAAACTAGGATAGTGGTTTTCAATTGGGATGCACAAGGACACTCTAGGAATGTCACATAACTTGATTTTAATTTATGTTTAAATTTTTATTTTTGCGTGTTGCTTAACGTAGAAAAGCAATTTCATAAACTTTTAATGCTTTCATTTTTAAATTATAACATAATAATGGCTTTTGTATCGAATGTATACGTGATGTATGTCGAATAAATTAATGTTATAGTATTTAATTAATGCTTTAAAAGGGTAATTTAAATATTTTAGAGATCAATAACAATCCCTTAACCGGAAACGATAACAGAAAAAGTGTCAATAGTATCGTTACCACCACTCAAGATCATGATAGATCCGCAGCATCCACTCCGAAATATCATTCTGGAGATGATGATTATAGCAGCACTACAATATCTCCTGTTCAAGACGAATGGCGCCCTTGGTCCTCCAGGTAAATTCGTTAATTTTCCCTCCAAAATTTTCGTGTTTTATACTTATAAATTGATTCCACATCCTTAAGTATAAATATATATAGCCTATATGACCTTGACAGAATACTATCGATTTAATAAGTAAAAATAAAAGAAATTTCCATATATATTTTTTAAAGATAAAGATTATTTTAATTAAATAAATATATTCTCGTTTTTTTAAGGGTATAATTTTTTAGGGATTTTTCTATATGGAGATTGGTGATACAATTATGTTTATTCTCTTTGAAGCTTAATAACTCCTGTGTCTTTGGTCGAAAATTTCTGAAATTTTGCAGGGAGATTTCTGTAATATGGATATTGATGCTACTAAATTTTGGTGGTTAAAGGTCAACGGGGTGGGGAGATAGAGGGGAGGATCGTGCATCGCATCTCGAGTAGGGTCGCTGTTAATGACGATTTTACTCGTTATTAACGTTTGTAATCTTTTATAAAACTCATCTATACCCTCAAAATTAAACCTTTTTGGCCATTTTATAATTAATTAATAATATAAAAAGTGTTTTTTTTAATAAAATCTCATAACGTATGACGTGCCTGGAAAGTTGAGCAAATCTTTGCTAGATATATTTTTATAGAAATGGTAATAAGTTTATAAAATAAATTCTAATACAGATAGGAAAAAAAATTAAGAAATAAATTAAAACATAAACTAAAATTAGCAAGCAATTTACCGTCTATTTTTATCATTAATAGTAGCAATTATCATGTTGAATGAATGAGAGAAAATCAAAAATGATTTAAGTTATGTTACTAAATCATTTTAATTATTAAAAAATTACCTTTAAAATGCTTGAAAGAGAATGTCGTAATTCTATTTTTATCTTCAATTTTTTAGCCATTTAGTAAGCTTATAAATCGCCTAATTATTTGCGTTGTGTTCATTAATGAGTTGAAATATACGATCGCATCATTAAGTAAATTTTAAAAATTAACGAAAATATTAAGTAAAAATATGTAATTAATTAATATTAAATATGTTATTTTACTTATATAAATATAAATATATTTTATTCGGTATTTATATAGAGATTCTCTTATCAGATGAAAAATTATAGAGGAATATGAGAACAAGTTTGCTGTTTTCTTTAAAATAAATTATCTTTTTTTATTATTATTATTTGCCTTTAAAAAATTACTAAATTTCAAAGTTTTTAAGCTTCTAAAAGCTCTTTGAANAATCTTCAAGGCTCTACATAAAAAATTACTAAATTTCAAAGTTTTTAAGCTTCTAAAAGCTCTTTGAATCAAATTTCTTACAGTAAAATATTATTCGAAACTTCTCCAACATCCGATTTCATCTCTCCAACATCCGATTTCATCCCTCCAACATCCGATGTGTTTTCTTGATTATCAATGAAAATTCTTTTATAAATTCAATCATTTTATACAAGATAACAATAGTAATTAACATATAAAACAATAATAAATACATTTTTATATATTTAAAGACGAAATTCTAGTACTACTAAGACTTCTTTACGTATTCTTAGAGTACTCGTANAAGCTTCTAAAAGCTCTTTGAATCAAATTTCTTACAGTAAAATATTATTCGAAACTTCTCCAACATCCGATTTCATCTCTCCAACATCCGATTTCATCCCTCCAACATCCGATGTGTTTTCTTGATTATCAATGAAAATTCTTTTATAAATTCAATCATTTTATACAAGATAACAATAATAATTAACATATAAAACAATAATAAATACATTTTTATATATTTAAAGACGAAATTCTAGTACTACTAAGACTTCTTTACGTATTCTTAGAGTACTCGTAAGATAAAACATAAAAGTCAGAAATTAAACATTCCACAGATATTTATGTAGCAACCGTTATAAAATATCTTAACATTAGTTGTAATTATAACCCATTTTAACAGAATCTGGAACAAATCCAAGAAAGAGAAACGTGTATGAACATACCTCCTAAAGTCTCTCTTCTTGAGCATCTCTCTCTCTTCTTCCAGATGCGAGTCTCCTGTACATAGTTAAGTAATGTAACTTATTTATTTTGTTTACAGGTTATTTTCTGTCTTTTTTTTTATACTCTTCTACAGTAGAAAAGCGTGTGATTGCTTGCTGTTCTATTTATCATGGTTTTACAACCAATATCACAAAAGAACACAAAAAAAATCTTTCTAAATCTCAGGATTGAAACATAAACCATGCATTGCTTCTAATGCTGTTGTTGTTTGATGGTTTGGTCCATTTATAGATATTGCTGGAGGTACAATATTTCATTTTATTATCCGATAAACGTCATCTTCTTCATACCAGAAAACGAGATAAATGTGTTCAAGTACGTACAACATCGCAATTTTATTTTTTATCTATGCCTACAACACTGCAAATTTATTATTATATATACTAGGAAATTTTCTATCCCAGCAAAATTCTACAAATAAAACAAAAACATATATTTATCCATTCACAAAAAGACAAATTGGATTTTTTAGCCATCTCCGGATCCATTTTCTTTTAGTTAAAAATAGAATATTTTAAGAACTATTTTTATACATTTTTTTAAAGAAAATATACTGAAATGACCCTTTGAGTTTTTTACATTTTTGGACTCGAAAACATCAAGAAATTCCAAAAATAAATTAAAGATTTTAGGGATGTTACTGTGTGGGGGGGTGATCACGATTTTTTCATCCAATTTGAAGCTTAATAACTCTTGTTCCTTTCGTCGAAAATTTTTGAAATTTTGCAGGGAAATTTATACATTAGATATAAATATCCGTAGAAATTTTCAGGAAAATCGGGCTATTCGTTCGAGAGAAATGGCCCTTATCCTCGTAATATCTCCCTAGCCCAATCTGAAGACTTAATAGTAATGGTAGCAATTATTAGGGTTGAAAAAACAAATAAAGAATGCCTGTAAAGTCTAGTAACAATTTCGCCAGTATTTTTACTTGTTACTATGATTAATAATTTAAATTTTACGTAAGCAGAAAAGATACAAACGAGTTTTCACATCGCATTAATGCAATTTCCTTTCAGCTTGACCAATTGATTTTTTTATCTGCAAGAAATGCGCTGGAAAAATAAAAAAAAATCAAATTAACTAATGCATAAAATGTGAGAAGAAAGCAATTATCGAACCTTTAAATTCTTTCTTTTAATACTTTTAACTCGCCCTTAAAAACAACGAAACACAATTACTAGAATGTGAAGATAAAACTTTTCGATTAATTACATGTAAAAATACGAATGTCTTTGTTTAGATTCTACTTTAACAAAGAATATGAAATAAGAAAAGAACTTTTTTAATTAAATTTCTAATATTATGATTAGAGAAAATGATAAATTTATTTATTTTTTTTATTATTAAACTGAATCGGAATTAATTAAAAAGTTTCTCTACTCGTTTTTTATATGTGACCTGAGGAATTGAGTGATAAATATTTATCTTTTCAAGCGATTAATTTTTAAAATTTACATATATTTTTTCCTTATATAAAACCACGAAAAGGTAATAAACAATTCTAAGACTGTTTACTAATGATTTTTTTTCTTCTTTTTCTTTATTTTTACTCGAATCACAAGCAAATTTTAAGCTGAATTTATTGCTTCAGTTTATTAAACCAGTCAAAATAAATTATTAAAATTATTCTGAATTTAGAAGCATATTTCAATTTTGATCTTTATGACTCTCATTCTACTCTATTTTAAATGAAAAATGGATTTATATTCAAATTAAATGTTGTCGCTGATCAATATCTAGTTATAAGAGTTGATTTAAATTCAATTTTCTCACAGCTTGATACATAATCGATCAAATATTTGCATAAGAAGAATATCTGTGATCTTTTTTTTACACTAATTCGAATTAATTTTCTGATTAGCAATTGGTAGGATCTTTCTTTAAGGATTCCTCGAATCGTGCATAAAAATACAAATATCTAATTACTACATCATCTCTCTCCCTCTCTCTCTCGTTTTAATTTGTTATTACAATAGATAAAAGTTCTATATCTTCATTTGTTATTGAAGCAAATAAAACTGTATATTCTTCTCCATTCGCATCTTTATCCGCATCTTTCTCCTTCCTCTTCCTCATCTCCATCCACATCTTTATCCTCGTCTTTTTCCTTCCTCGTCCTCATCTCTATCCTCATTTTTCTCCTTCCTCTTCCTCATCTCCATCCGCATCTTTATCCGCATCTTTCTCCTTCCTCATCCTCATCTCCATCCGCATCTTTCTCTTTCCTCTTCCTCATCTCCATCCGCATCTTTATCCGCATCTTTCTCCTTCCTCATCCTCATCTCCATCCGCATCTTTCTCCTTCCTCTTCCTCATCTCCATCCGCATCTTTTTCCGCAGATGAAGATGCAGATGATGCTGAGGAAGGAGAAAGATGCGGATGAGAATTCATAAAAGAAATTACAGATACACACGTGGAAAGAGAAGGGTACGGATAAGGATTTAATGAAAGAAAAATGTCAATAAGGATGCGGAAGAAGAGAGATGCAACTAGAGGAAAGAGGATGCGGATGAGGAAGTAGGAGACAGGATACAAAAACTTACTTCTTATTTTAAAACGTTTTTATATTAAAATT